CAATTATTAGGTTTTTGACCAAATTTATATGTGCCATTATTTTTAACAGTGAGCAACTTGTAAAAATAAGATATTTACTCGTATTCAATTTTGTATAAAACCAGCAAATTCAACAACTCCCTAAATCGGTTGAATCGACGGGAGCAGTTAATAACATAAGCAAATAACAGTTTCCCTTTTCGTAATCTCAAAGCCATCTGGCACCCCAGCTTGATGTAGAATTCACGAGGAAGTGCACAACATATAAGTGGAATGGGGCATATACACACAATACTGCAATCACATCTGTGTGTTGACTAAACACTCCTACATGTCACATGTCGTCACTTACTGAATGATTTTATTAAAAAAGGTTTAAATAAACAGTTATTTTGAGTTTGTTAAAATTATCGCAATGTTTTGGAATTTTTGAGAACATTTGGACCTTGAAAGCCAAATAAAAAAAGGAAAAATTTAAATAAAATCTTAAAACATTTACGAAATTGAAGGAATTGTTTTATTATCAATAAATACAAGAAATTTTAGATATATTTTAAAAAAATTTAAACCTTAATTTGTAAAAGTTATAAGAACTATGTAATTTTTAAAAATAATAGCTATAAAGAAATTTTAATATTAATTTTTAGAAAAAAAGCAAAAACCATGACATCCAGAAAACTTAAATTTATTCTAAACATTAATGGAAATAAATAAGATCTCGACTTCTGTAAATTTTGGGGAATATGAGATTATTGGTAACTTCTTGTTATGCAATAAAATTTGTAAGTTTCAAATAGTTTATAATTTAGAAATTTTAAAAAAATTTTAAGATATTTTAAGAAATTTTAAGAAATTTTAAGAAATTTTAAGAAATTTTAAGAAATTTTAAGAAATTTTAAGAAATTTTAAGAAATTTTAACAAATTTTAACAAATTTTAACAAATTTTAACAAATTTTAACAAATTTTAACAAATTTTAACAAATTTTAACAAATTTTAACAAATTTTAACAAATTTTAAGAACTTTTAAGAAATTTTAAGAAATTTTAAGAAATTTTAAGAAATTTTAAGAAATTTTAAGAAATTTTAAGAAATTTTAAGAAATTTTAAGAAATTTTAAGAAATTTTAAGAAATTTTAAGAAATTTTAAGAAATTTAGAAGAAATTTTAAGAAATTTTAAGAAATTTTAAGAAATTTTAAGAAATTTTAAGAAATTTTAAGAAATTTTAAGAAATTTTAAGAAATTTTAAGAAATTTTAAGAAATTTTAAGAAATTTTAAGAAATTTTAAGAAATTTTAAGATATTTTAACAAATTTTAACAAATTTTAACAAATTTTAAGAAATTTTAAGAAATTTTAAGAAATTTTAAGAAATTTTAAGATATTTTAACAAATTTTAACAAATTTTAACAAATTTTAACAAATTTTAACAAATTTTAACAAATTTTAATAAATTTTAACAAATTTTAACAAATTTTAACAAATTTTAACAAATTTTAACAAATTTTAACAAATTTTAACAAATTTTAACAAATTTTAATAAATTTTAACAAATTTTAACAAATTTAAACAAGTCTTAACAAATTGAAACAAATTATTAGAAATAGTTAAAAATTGGTATAAATTATGAAATACATTAAAAATTTTTAAGAAATTGTAAAAAATTATTAGATAAAGTAAAAATTGTAACAAAGAAATTGACCGAAATTGTAAAAAATTAATTTTTTTTTAATTTATACAAAAAAAATGAGTATACCAATAAAAACTCCCATGCCGGATATTTTGGTAAGTAATAGAGATATTTTAATTCTGTAAAAGCCAGTTCACAGAGCACTAAGAGAGTTTCAGTTTTAGATATAAATTGATTTTAAGTAGATATGTAGATGGCGCTACGCTTAATAATTTTTTTTTGATGGGAGGATCTTTCTTGTGTAGCGCATCTTGTGAAAAATGCATTTTTAAGTAGAATTTTTTTCTGTGGACCAATTCAATAAATCTAGCCATTTTTGATATACAGAGTGGGTCACTCAAAACAGTTTCATCCTGCTTTTCAGCATTAATCATTGGATTTTAAGAAAATGCTGAAACAGGTCGATTTTTATTCCAAATTAAAAACATTTTTACAATACAGACATCTGTCATGTGTCAACCGCCTCCCTTGCACTTTTCCAATACCTTAATTTTAAATAGGTAATGTACCATATGTATGGCACATCATTGAAAAGGTAATTTAATGGGGGATTCAGAAATATTTCTGTACATTGCGTTACTTAAATTTTATTGCCTTCTAGCGGGATAAAAAACTACTACGTATTATAAAATTATAAAATTTAAGGGGTTGGAGAAGTGGAAGAGAAAGGGTTGACACATGACAGATATCTGTATTGTAAAAATGTGTTCAATTTGGAATAAAAATCGGCCTGATTTAACATCTTTTTAAAAATCCAATGATTAATGCCGAAAAACAGGATGAAACAGTTTTGAGTTACCCACTCTGTATATCAAAAATGCCTAGATTTATTGAGTTAGTTTATAAAACAAAATCTGCTTAAAAATGAGCTATATAATAAAGATCCTCCCATCAAAAAAAAAAAAAATTATTGAACGCAGCGCCATCTACATATTAACCTATTTAAAATGAATTTATATCTAAAACTGAAGCTTTCTTAGCGCTGTATAAACTGGCTTTTACAGAATTAAAATATCTCTATTACTTACCAAAATATCCGGACTGGGAGTTTTTATTGGTACACCCTGTATACGCATGTTTAATATTATAGCATTTTTATATGAGAAAGTCAGTATCCTAATAAGATACAAATAAGAAACAACGCACGTTGTTTTATATTAGAATTCATGAGGTAAAAATAAATTTAACTCCAAAATAAATAATATCTTATCTCACCAGAAAAACAGGAGTTGCATCAATATATCCAACCCCATTTCCTTATTTTTCTTCATTACTGATGTAAGGTTTCATTCACACTGTATTTACATTCTGTGAGCCAGTATTGGATACACCCAATTTCTGTTAAAACTTAAAATAATTCATTAAAAATAAATTTCAATTAATAATAAAAGAGGTCGTAACAGAATTTCAAATAGACTAATTTTAAATTAAAACACAAAAGTGACTGTTGTCGGAACGCAATTCCCTATTATCCTGTCTTTATATCCAGTAACAAAAGCTTACAAGTTCCCCTAGGAGCGTCCATTCAACTTTTATATTGAAACACATTCTTTTTCTTTTGACCACTATTAATCTCTCCTGGTTTATTTCTTCGAGGATTCAAGAAAAAATCCCTCTTGGTTCGTTCGGGAGACGTTTAATTCAATCTACGACAATGCCTATTCATCCTGTTGTAGTCCTGCGAAAAGGACATTTGTTTTTTTTTTTTTAATTTCGTATACGGGGAAATTAAAAATACGAAATTGAAACAAATTGTAAGAAAATTTTAAAAAACTAAGAAATTGTAAAAAATTTGTAAGAAAATGCAAGAAATTATAATAAAGTGTAAATAATTGTAAAAATAGTAAGAAATTGTAAGAAGTTTTAAGACGCCACATACATACGTCACATTTTGTCACTTACTGAATGATCTTATTAAAAAAAGGTTTAAATGAACTAATTTTGCAGTGTTTTAGAATTCATGAGAACACTTGAATCTTGAAAGCCAAATAAAAAATTTTAACAAACTAATAAATTTTAACAAATTTTAACAAACTATTAAATTTTAACAAATTTTAACAAATTTTAACAAATTTTAACAAATTTTAACAAATTTTAACAAATTTTAACAAATTTTAACAAATTTTAACAAATTTTAACAAATTTTAATAAATTTTAACAAATTTTAATAATTTTGAGTTTATCAAAAGTATCGCAATGTTTTAGAACTCCTGAGAACACTTCAATCTCGAATACCAAACAAAAATGGAAAGAAATTAATTAAAACCTTAAACATTTAGAAAATTTACTGGAAATGCATAAAATTTTAGATTAATTTTAAAAATTGGTAAACGCTAATTTACAAAAGTTATGAGAACTGCAATAAATTTGAATTAATTTGTAAATTTTTAAAAAAATATTACTTTTTTATCCCACAATAGATCTAAAAAGGTGCGGTGGACGACAAATAATGTCCAACTCCTTTCAAATTTTTCAAATCTAAGTATCCAGCAAATTCTTCAAAAGTACTACCAAATATAAAAAAAGGCAAACAAAATTGAAAATTCTTTACGAGTCATAGAAAAATTTTAAAAAACTTTAATAACTATAATTTTAATAGTTATTTATGCAACAAGTGCAAAAAGTAAGTGTTTATTGCACGCGACGTGAAATTGCCGTCAGGCCGAGTTGGACAACACGCCGAGTGTAATAAACACTTTTTTCACGAGTTGTATGCAATATTTTTTCTACGTTCATGCAAAAACCAAAAAAAGTTGTATAGAACTGCAGTTGTATTATCCAAATCATAGTAGGCGTGATCGTGTACCTTTGTTTGAGGCACTTATTTACGTTTGTGTTCATAATTTGTAATGCCATTTTTAATAAAATACATTTTTTTATTAATTTATTTATTAAATGATTGAAAATAATATAAAATAAGCAATTGTTTTTAAAACGTAACACAGAAAATGAAAATGGACTAAATATTTGGCATTGATTTGAATATTTATGTTTGTCATGATCATAAAACGCTGTAGTAAAATGACAGATGAGTGCAATAAAATTTTGATTGCACTAGTGCAATAAAGAACCAGTTTTTTCACTAAATAATAAGTTCAATAAAGTTTTGTTTTTGCATGAACGTAGAAATTAATATTAACCTCGAAAGATTGGGTATTTGGAAATTCTTGACATTTTTTAATTTTAAAATATTGACAAACAAAAAACAGCATTCTGTAAATTGTAGAGAGATCATTGGAAATTTCTTGTTTTGCAATGACATTTTAGGACATTGTAAGAAACTGTAAGAAATTGTAATAAATTGTAAGAAATTGTAATAAATTGTAAGAAATTGGAAGATATTGGAAAAAATTGGAAGATATTGGAAGATATTGGAAGACATTGGAAGACATTGGAAGAAATTGAAAGAAATTGGAAGAAATTGGAAGAAATTGGAAGAAATTGGAAGAAATTGGAAGAAATTGGAAGAAATTGGAAGAAATTGGAAGAAATTGGAAGAAATTGGAAGAAATTGGAAGAAATTGGAAGAAATTGGAAGAAATTTGAAGAAATTGGAAGAAATTGGAAGAAATTGGAAGAAATTGGAAGAAATTGGAAGAAATTGGAAGAAATTGGAAGAAATTGGAAGAAATTGGAAGAAATTGGAAGAAATTGGAAGAAATTGGAAGAAATTGGAAGAAATTGAAAGAAATTGAAAGAAATTGAAAGAAATTGAAAGAAATTGAAAGAAATTGAAAGAAATTGGAAGAAATTGTAAAAAATTGTTAAAATATTAGGAAATTGTAAGACATTATAAAAAATTCTAATAAATTCTAATCTTAAAACTACTGCGGTATAATTTAGGAAGGATACAAAATTAAGATTATGTCAGAAGGCACTTTTAGCATATATTACTAGAGGCAGCATATAAATGAGCATTGTTTTGAGACGTAATTAGAGGTACTTTATATCTATTAAATTCAATTTTTTCACTAAGTTCAAAATGAAACCTTTCCCAGTCTCTTTCTTTGTTTGTCAGTGTGGGAATTGAGTTGTTTAGTGATATAAAGCATTAATGTAAATCAAAATAAGATCGATCCCAGAGCCGTCCGCTGAGGCACTCCTGTAATAAGAGTTACGCTTAGGTTAATGCCAATTTTATCTTTTTAATAATCTGTACTTAATAATTGGTAATGTGTCAACAGATTTAACCAATTTGAAACATATCAAAGACTGTCCTGTATTCGCGAACCCAGATGTTCATTATTAGCAACTGTAAACAAACGTCTATGTGGCAATAATCGCGTTCGCCAAGCCGCATCAGCGCGAAATACTCAAGGCTAATTAGTTTTCAGTCACGTAGGCATATATGTATCTCTTTCGTTTGAACGACACAAAAATTAGACAAGTCTGTGCTTCGCTAGAAGACAGACGTGCTCTCATTAAACTCACGACACCTCTTTTCTGTTATATAAATCACTTAAGTTCTGTAAGCAAAGATAATAATTAATAAAATAAACTGTGAAACCCTAATGTAGTGTTAAGCATGTAGTTAGTTGTTAAATAAAAATAATGTAAATATGTACAAATTTAAAAGTAGTGCAGCGTTTTTGCACAGTAAATTGTTTTTTACAAAGTGTTGGAATTTCATTATCCATATGGAGATGGTTGCAGCTAACACCGAAAGGAGACAGTCCACTTAGTAAGCGCGCCCTAGGCCGTATACATAATTTGTGTTGGGTTCAACTTTTAATGACCTACTAATCCAACACCAAGTCTTAAGAATTTTTTTTAATAGTAATTTGAGTTTCATTGTTTTTAATGCCCTAATTGATACAAGACTTTTGTGCGCCCCCTAAAAGAAAAGGTATACTACCTCAAACTGACCTCAACGAAACAATAACGCATCGCTTATGTTATATATAAGAAAATAAATCTAGCGAGAAAATACTTTCCGGTTTACCCTGTCTCGCCATACATCATTTACAACAGTTCTCATTTTCGTAAGTATACGCATTTCGTTGGATGAGAGTAGTTTCCAGTTTTCCGCATTCCTTCATCTGGAAAGTCTTTCATCTCTTTCTGTCTTTCTCGCACCGTAGTAATAACGAATGTAAGTTTCGCCAACCGGAAGCGATTCCAATTATTGCAGAAAAGGTGGTTATTTGGTAGATATCTTACCTCGGAAGGTACCGCGATTTAACACGTTTTTGGTTGTCTAACAGTTAGGCAATACTACTGACTGCGCCAATTTTAGGTTCGCTAATAAAAATTGTAGTTGTTTTTTTTATTACAATAACTTTATAGAAAGCGGAACTTAATTTTATGTTTTTGTAGTATAAAAATGTAAAAGTTATAAAATGTCGGTAACGAACTAGTTTTGTTGTATTGTGTAATCGAAGCCTTAAATCATGAATTTTTGTTTCGCTTATTACATCCGCAACAAATAATTAAATTTAAATTTTCTACTCCGCCAGCTGGCACACGGATTGCATCTCACGCAAAGTTATATTTCCTTGTCTCTTCCTATTTACATAGATTGCTTGTTATCGCCGAAAGCGCAAAATACTCCACTAAACACGATATATGACACGACAATCTGTCTTCGTCATAAAGAAATCTCCAGAGTTGTTGGCTCTATCCATCAATGTTTCGTACAAAATGCAGGAAATCCTACCGGCAGGGGATTTGTACCGAACGCATAAATCTTTTTTTTTTTTTTTCATTTTTCGCAAACAGGTGTTTTTAAAGTCTGTAAAAGCAATTAGATGGATATGTCGTTCTTCTGGAAGATTAAGCAAAACCAAAGCGATATGAGTGCGATTGCGTTAGTTTTGATTTTTGCGCCCTCTAGTGGGATAAAAAACAATTACATATTGTATAGGTTAATTGGTACCTAAAATTAAAATTGTTTTTAGGTAATTCGTTCGAGGTTTTCACATTTTTAGTATTATTGTTTATATACAATAAATTTGCAATTGTAAAAATATATTCTATGATTTAAATAACTATTTTTATTGTTTTCATCTATTAAAATAAATAAAATAATAAAATTTAAACAGTATTCTATGATTTGATAATCTAGATGCCGCTTATAAAAACGTTCATTAAAATTTGATCAACTTTTACAGAGCTTGAGATTGTGATATATCTAAATGACTCGAACATAAAAGTATTCACAATTTAAACAACTGTCAACGTTTAGCAGACTAGTAAAGTTTAATGTTATAGCCCAATTTTTAACAGTTCAATGACGTATCCTCATTTCGTGTTTTCTAACTTTAAAATAATTTACACCCATTATCACTTTAACTTCAAACAATTTTATGAGCAGAAGCAAAATTTGAAATCTTTCGATATATCAGCTCAATTTCTTTCAAGGTTAGTTTTAAAATAAAAAATGTTAGAATGAGATATAACTATTTTAGAGAATGATAGAGTAATAAAGCCAATGTGGCGTTATATTTTTTATGACCATCTCTGCCCGAAAGTGTTTTTTTTTTAAATGTGATGTACTTGTAAATTTTATTAGAAATTATAGAATACGAGTAAATTAATTTTGTCTGTGTGCAATTTGGGGAATTTATTTTTACAACATGTACAGTGTTAAGAACAAGAAATATATGATGAGTTGAAATGATTATTTTAAATATTTTAACAGTGGTTTTGTCATTTAATAACAACTACGAGCCCCTTCCCATTTCAGTTGGCCCAACTATTGAAATTTAGGAAATTCGTATTTAAAGATTAAAAATATAAATATTGCATGAACTTTCCAATTTTTATTCATTGAACAATATGTTTAATATCGTTTAATCACAAAAAATATGTAGAAAACATTAAAATATTTATTTAACATAAAATTAAAAAAAATAAACAAATAGTTGGAATCAAACGTTAATCAATTTTAAAGTTTACAATTGAGTAACGTCACCTTTATTTTTTATTACAGCTGAAATTCTTTGCGGGATGGTATTAACTAAGCCTTGGCAAAATTCTGGTGTAAACGAATCCCATATATCTTGAAGTTTTTGTTTAAGTTCAGGTATTGTTCTTGCAGGATGTTTTCGAAGTACCTTTTTCATCTCATGCCACAATGTTTCTATTGGTGATAAATCAGGACTACTAGAAACCCATTCCAAAAGTGGAACACCGAAGTCTTTCGTCTATTTTAGAGCTTTTTTGAAGTGTGACATCATGCTCCATCCTGTTGAAATACAAAATCTTTCCCTGATGTCAAATATAATTCCATAGTCGATAAAAGTGATTCCTCCAAAATGTCCAAATATTTATTTGTATTTACAATTCCTTCAATAAAATGCAGTTTCCCTATTCCTTTAGATGACATGCTGCCCCAGACCATGACCGATGCGGAAAATTTTACTTTTCTTTTGAGACAGTCTGGATGGAAGGCTTCATGTTTTTTGCGAATAACTCGACTTCTGCTATCTTCAACACAAACTTCGAATCGGGCCTCGTCACTCCATTGTATTGCATCCCATTGATGAGAAGTCCAACTCATATGTTCTTTTGCCCATCTTAATCGATTTTTTTTTCTGTTTCGCAGTTAGTAGTGGTTTTTCTTTAACCTGTAACAATATTGTCAATTTTAAGCAAATATATTTGTTTGTTTTAGTGTCTTCAATCCATGTTTTTTTATTGTTTTTATTATTATAAACTTAATTTGTATGTCCCAAATCCCAGTTGGCGAGATTCTCTATGACATGAAGATCTCGAAATTCGTCTTCCAACAGCATCACTCCTCTGAGCACTTAATTCAAGGTAATTAGCACGACGGTTGGGTTCAATAATTCTTCTCAATGCTCGTCTATCGGTATTTGTAATCTTGCTTTTTCTAACATGACGGGGCTTTGGGCTGATTGAACCAGTAGTTTTGAATCTTTTAACTATATTTCTTACACTATATCGTGATAAATCTAATATATTTGCAATTTTCGAGTTCGATTTTCCAGAATTGCAATGTTTTATAACAAGAAAACTTATTCTTTCGTCAATGATTTTTCCTCTGCCCATTTTATTAGACAGAATTAGCTTAAAAGAGGTTAAATTGTCTTGTGACAGTTATTTGCATTATTGTTTGTTATTTTTTCAAAGCTACCTTCGATTTTGGTTTATTTTCTAACGAATTGAATTCAAGTTGAAATAATGCAATAATGCTCCATGTGTTAATAAATTTAAAAATAAATAAAAAAAATTGATGTTTTCTAGTTCTAGTTCTAATATAATTCTAAATTGATGCATTGGTAATTAATTTATGATTTAAAAAAGCATGTAATCTTTAATACTTTCTTATTGTCGTTATATAAAGAAAATATCAATAGGTGGGCCAACTGAAATGGGAAGGGGCTCGTATATTATCATATTAGTTAGATAGACAAAGAACTGCCAAAGTAAATTTTCATTTTAAAAGAAATTATCAAGCAAATAATGATTTTTCTTTCTTTGTTTCAGGTTAGTCAAATACCATAACTAAAGCGCTCGGTAATGGTAAGTAATCCACAAAAAATTGCCCATCATAAACCTCAATTTTGTTTTAACTTTGTTACCCGGAAGAAAAACCGTTTCTAAAATATGGCCAGTAACTTAACGTCCTATTTCTCTCCATTCCAAGCAAAAATGGCGGTTATAAACCAAATTCGGAGATTTACTAACCGAATTTAGATTTTGGGATAGCGAAAGCCCACT